GAGAGCTGCGACATCAGACGTCTTGTACAGGTGCAGATAATCAAGCTTATGGACTGTTTGTCAGCGTGGAAATAACAAGCAGAAGAATGCAAAACGATATGTTTCGAATGATCCGAAACCAAATGATATCTGCAATTACTGTAAAGAAAATGGGCACTGGAAAACAGATTGTCCTAAGAAGAAGAAGAAGCAGTCAGTTGCTGTTGTTGTAGCAGAGAATGACAGCGAGTCTGAAGTAGACTTTGCACTGGCTGTATATGAACAGACACATTCCTCAGATGTGTGGGTTCTAGACACTGGAGCTTCTTACCATATGTGCTTTAGGAGAGAGTGGTCTTACACATATGAGTATGTAGATGATGGTAGCATAATGTAGCTAACAGTTCTGCTTGCAAGGTTGTTGGAATTTGTTCGATCAAGATCAGGACACATGATGGTAGATTCTGCACCTTAAGAGATGTCAGACATGTTCTGTCTATGACAAAAAACTCGATATCTCTAAGTCTTTTAGACAGTAGAGGGTTTAAGTATTCAGGTGGTGACGGAGTTTTGAAAGTTTACATGGTACTTTATATTTTCTGCAAGGCTCCACAATCACAGGTTCAACCAATGTTATTCTAAGGTTCGTAAGGAAGATTTGACAAAGCTACATATAACATATGAGGCTTGGTCATATGAGTGAAAGAGGTATGCAAATTTTGTCTAAGGAGGATCTTCTTTGTGGCCATGAGGTTAAGGGTCTAGAGTTTTGTGAACACTGCATTTTTGGAAAGCTTCATTGCAACAAGTTTCCTAAGGCTATTCATAAAAGAAAAGGTACGTTGGACTACTTTCACTCAGATTGTTGGGGTCCGTCTCGGGTGAAATCTTTTGGAGGTCACAGGTACTTCGTGTCTATGATTGATGACTACTCACGGAAGATTTGGGTGTTCATACTGAAGCATAAAAGTGAAGCTTCATAAAAGTGAAGCTTTTAAAAACTTCAAGGAGTGGAAAGCTCTAGTTGAAAATCAAACAAGGAAAAAGATCAAGAGGTTTCGAACTGATAATGGTTTGGACTTCTGTTTATTTGAGTTCAATCAGTTGTGTAGAGATGAAGGTGTTTCACGTCATCACACAGTCAGAGATACACCCCAACATAATGGTGTAGGTGAGCGGATGAACCAGACGTTACTGGAGAGAGCGAGGTGAATGCTCTCTAATGATTGTTTAGAAAAACAGGTTTTGGTCTGAATCTGTAAGTACAGCTTGCTACTTAATAAACCATGCACCACATACAAGTATCAAGTGCAAGACACCTACTGAGATGTGGCCAGGTACATGTGCTGATTACTCAAATATGAAAGTTTTTGGTTGCACAGCTTACTATCATGTAAGTGAAGGTAAACTAGAACCAAGAGCAAGGAAAGGAGTTTTCGTAGGCTATGGAGATGGAGTTAAGGGGTAAAGGATATGGTCTCCATCAGAGAAGAGGGTTATTACAAGCAGTAACATTGTCTTTGATGAAAGTTCTATGTTCAGATGCTCAGCAGAGCCTACAGCTGTTGCAGATAATGAGAGTTTCGACAAGCAGGTGGAGCTGCATGACGATCATGACAAGAGTGATTTGCAGCAACACAAAGAGGGTCATGAGGAGCAAACAGAAAATGTTCTTTTGGAACCTACTGTATCTGAATCTCAACCATCTGGAGTTGCAAAATATAGTATTGCAAAAGATCGACCCAAGAGGATTGGCGTTGGACCACCTGTGAGATATGGCTTTGAGGATTTGGTCGGATATGCACTGCATGTGGCAGAAGAGGTTGATACGTATGAGCCATGCACTTACAATGAAGTTGTATCAAGTGTTGAAGCTGAGCAATGGTTTGCTGCAATGGGAGACGAGATGAAGTCTCATGATAAAAATCATACATGGGATCTGGTCATTATTCCACAAGAGAGAAAGATTGTCACTCGCAAGTGGGTCTTCAAAATAAAGGAAGGGATATCACCTTCAGAAGGAGTCAAGTATAAAGCTCGGGTTGTTGCTAGAGGTTTCAGTCAAAGAGAAGGAGTAGACTACAATGAGATTTTTTCACTAATGGTCAAACACACATCTATCAAAGTACTGTTAGCAATAGTGGCACGTCAGAATTTGGAGCTCGAACACTTGATGTGAAGACCACTTTCCTTCATGGAGAGTTAGAGGAAGAGATATACATGACCCAACCAGAGGGTTTTGAAGCTCCAGGCAAGGAAGACTATGTGTGCAAACTGAACAAGTCGTTATATGGACTTAAGCAATTTCCAAGGCAGTGGTACAAAAGATTTGACAGCTACATGACGAAGTTGGAGTACGTTAAAAGTCCTTAAGATTGTTGTGGTTACTACAAAATGTTGAAGGATGAATCATATATTTATCTGGTGCTTTATGTGTATGACATGCTGATAGCTGCAGAGGAGATGTGTGATTTTTAAAAGCTGAAAGATTCGCTTAGCTCTGAGTTTGAGATGAAAGGCTTAGGTGCCGCAAAGAAGATTATAGGCATGGAGATTTTCAGGGATAGAAAACAGAAAAGCTCTTCTTGTCACAGAAAACCTATATTGAAAAGGTACTAGTAAGGTTTGGAATGTCCACAGCTAAACCTATCAATACTCCAAGCGCAGCTAACGTTCATCTCACAACGGTTGCTCCTCAGTCTGAAGAAGAAAATGAGTATATGTCTCGGACTCCTTACGCTAGTGCTGTCGGAAGTTTGATGTATGCTACGGTATGTACAAGACCAGATCTTGCACATGCAGTCAGTGTTGTTAGCAGGTTTATGGGACAACCAAAAAAGAAACATTGGTTAGCTGTGAAGAGAATTTTTCATTATCTTAGAGTTACATCTGATGTTGGTCTTATCTACGGAGGTGAGAGTCCCTACCAGGTGACAGGTTATTCTGACTCAGATTATAATGCAGATGTAGACAGTAGAAGGTCAATGACCGGCTACGTGTTTACCTTAGGCGACTCTGTTATTAGCTGGAAAGCAACTCTGCAACCTACAGTGATGTTGTCTACTACTGAAGCAGAATACATGGCTTTGACAGAAGCAGAATGCATGGCTTTGACAGAAGCAGCTAAGGAAGGTATCTGGTTAAAAGGGTTGGTTAGCAATCTGGGTTTGCATCATGATCAAGCTACAGTATACTGTGACAGCTTGAGTGCGATTTGCTTAGCTAAGATCAGGTTCATCATGAAAGAACCAATCATATTGACATGAGGTATCACTTTCTAAGAGATGAGAAGAGAATCAATGTTAAAAAGGTAGGAATTGCTGATAATCCTTCTGATATGTTCACTAAACCAGTTCCTCGCAGCAAGTTCCAACATTGTTTGGATTGCTGAATGTCACAAGCTGTTGATCTGGCCCTTTGGGGCATCTGGCCCTTCGGGGCATCTGGTCCGAAAGGACATCTGAGGCAAAAGGAGAAATCGGGTACATCTGGCATCATTAAGGTGCGTCAAGTACATCTGTTTAAGGGTTCAAGTCAAGGTGGAGATTTGTTAGTATGCCTTGAATCTGAGACTGTGGAAGGTGCGACATGCGGAAGGTGCAACCTGAGAAAGGTGCGACCTGACGAAGGTGCCACTTCTGGAAGGTTCTGGCTACACAGAAAACTGCAGAAGGTAGAGTTTGCAGATTTTGTAAGCTGCGAAACTGTTAGCAGATTGTGTAAGCTGCGAAGCTGTTAGCAGATTGTGTAAGCTGCAAAGCTGCTAGCAGATTGTGTAAGCTGCGAAGCAGCTAGCAGATTGTAAGCTACGAAGCTTCTCGGATAAGATAACTCCTATATGGGCTGAAGCTACTAGCTTAAGGTTGTTATGTGGGCCTAAGCGAATAGGTACATATCTGTTTAAGGTTAACTTGATGTTAGCTATAAATAACCTTGTTACACCTAATTCTGATGTATTCTGAACCTTCAGCCTCCATTAATAAATCATTCTCTTTTTGTCCGTGAACATAGCCAACTCATCGTTGGTGAACCACGTTAATTCTGTGTTTTTGCTTTACGTTCATAGCTCAATCTTTTCGCATCCGTTATAACACTTAGATTTCTTATAAATCATGATATCTGAGTGATTAACACAAGCTGGAATCCACAGCCCATTGTAAATAAAACTACTAATAACTAGTTTAGTTAAAGACCACGATATTTAGAAGATCCTGTAGTTTTAGAGGGAGCAACATGTGAGAAACAAGTTTATCATGAAAAGAATATACATGTCATAAAGAAATGATGGGCAATGAATAAGATCCTATGCATCTCTGATTGGATGTGATATAAATGAAGTGTTGAAAAGTTCAGTTAATAAAAGGATATGTACACACACAAAAAAATGAAGGGTCATTGGTTATAGGATACTGGATTACATACAGATAGCAGATAACATTTGGTAATATGCCATTGAGTGAGTGAAAACTGACATAAAATAGTTTACAATTTTTCTTTTGTCTTTCTTTCTTTTTTTTTCTTGTAGCATAAAGTGTATACAGAGAGAATAAACCCCACTTTTCAGTTACATCTCACCGATTTCATCAAACTTCTCTTTGTGAAAAGTTTTTTTTTTGGTAAAATCTGAATTATGTAATCTTATCAAAAAAAAATTAAGAATCAGCTATAACCAAAGGCTGATAAGTGCTGGTCAATATCTTGTTATGTGTCACATTCGCTAAAAGAGTTATGAATGCTAATGTATTCAAATATACGCTACAGACCTGATCACGCACATGCTTGATAGGGAAGAACGCACGAATTAAAAAAATTTGCATATATCTAGTTCGATCCTAAATAACATAGCTGTGAAGACAACTTGAGCCATGGTCCTGACTTAAATAAAAACTTAATTTCTTAAGAAACTTATTTGATAACTTCTTGATTGTTTACATAGAGAATACAACTTTGTATGTTAAATAAAGCTTTTAGCCAACTTAAGGAATCATGTAAACTAATGATCATCTGAAAGACGCAGAGAATCAATTTTGTTAATGCTCTCAAATTGAAGGTAAGCTTGAGATGATGTTGTTGATGTGTTCTTGGCCTCACGCTTCTGTTCTGGTGAGCTTATAGATGTTGCAGCATTTTATGTCGTCTACATAGTAATAAACTTCAGATCCTCAACATGGTCTACAAAGACTCTAACCATTCTACTACGTTGCTGTAAAGCGCCATGGTTAGCAGCTCTAAAACCTTGGATTTCAACACTTAGAACAGTGCTCCTTTCTGGATTGAAGAAAAAAACATAAAACGGCTTAGATGCATCTTCCGTCGAAATAACAATTTCACCTGTAGCAGTCACACCAACGATTGGATTCCCCCAAAAAGTGGAAACATCGCAGCCATCGAATTGACTCTCCCAAATAGTGTAGACATATTCTGACCATTTCGATGATTCAGGTTCCTCGGCATCTTTTATAACCCACAAACACAATGTAAGAGAACGCATTGTACAAGTATGACAATCATACTCCCAAGTAACCACGCCTAATTTACCCTTGTAATTGATCAGTTCAGTATTATCCCGATAACTAATGAAATCTCTGTATATAAACTTGAATTTTTCAGACCTAACATCAAAGCAAACTATCATATAACAAGTTCCATCTCTTTGTTCAGCAGAATATTCAGCTAAGTAATACAAAACCCCATTGATGCATATCCCTTCACTGCTAGGAAAATGGTTTAAGGGACAATGGATCTTCCTCCATGAATCATTTCCAGTACCTAGTGTCAAAATTTGATACTGGCATCTCTTTTCATCAGCGTCAAGATCTCCAATGGACAATACCTTGAAGTGTTTGCCAATCGGATCAAACCCTAAAAAACTTCTCCAAAAGCTTCTCCGATTACACTCTTTAGGTATAGGTAAGCTCGTGAACTGACCCGTGCTAGGCTTACATATTATTATACACTGATCATGTTCTGAGATATGTGGACATAAATAGATCAAATCAGAGGCACGACCACAAAATTCTAGACATGTGTTGCCTCCAGGGAACTTCATTTGACAATCGGCAGTTACTTCAAGAGACAACTCCTCATCATCTGGAATTTTCGGCTGAGGCGAAGTGAAGAAGCACCAATCATCGCCTTCTTGTTCTACTGCGAATAAGAGACGCGGCCGCGCAGAGGATCTGGTCAGGAAAAACTCGGTGAAATATGGACGAAGAAGTATGGAGCTCCATAACTTCGAAACGCAACGAAACCTCGCAACTGACTTGGCAGGCAATCTTGAGAGTATGTCGTTGACAAGATCAGTCAGGATGGAACATGAGTTTGTTTCTCCACTAATCATTTTGTTTGCCGAGTTCAGACTTGGATAAACACCAGAGGCTCTAGTCTATGGTTTTAAAGACAATCTTTGGGTTTCAAAGTTAACTATATGTGGGTATTATTTAAATATAGTTTTTAATATAGTTTAAATCTAACTATAATCTACTATTATTTAATGATTGATTTTAAATCCTTTATAAAAATTTAGTGTTATTTGATTTTGTATTTTGTTTTTGCCAAACTCTTTATAATAATTGAAATCTATTGTTATTAAATTCAAGATTATATACCAATTAAAGTCTTATGTTATTCATGTATGATAGATTACAATCACCTTTCACGAGTTTGACTTAATTTGAAACTCTTTATAAAAAAGTTTGAAATCCATTGTTATTCAATTAAAGATTAAGTTAAAGTCTTATGCTATCCACAGATTAATTACCTTAAAGTGAAAAAGTTTAAGTCAATGTGAAACATTTTTTTGAAGAGAGTTTGAAATCTATTGTTATTTAATTAAAGATTATATACCAATTAAAATTTTATGTTATTCATGTATGATAGATTACAGTTACTTTAACGTGAAAGAGTTTGAGTTAGTTTTAAACTTTTTATAAAAAGTATTCAAAATCCATTATTATTTAACTAAAGATTATATATCAATTAAAGTCTTATGTTGTTCGTGTATGATAGATTACAATAACCTAAACGTGAAAATTAATGTGACCCCCTGGGCTATTCTCTTTATGCAACCCATTCTTATAAAATTTTAAAAGCCCAAGTTCAGTTCATACAAGGCCTTTTTGGCCAGAGAGTCAGCTAAATCATTTGCTACTCTGGGAATAAAGCGAAAATCGATAGCATTGAAGTCTGAAGAGCTAATGAAAATATCAGAGATCACACCATGGATCGATGGTATCGGTGACTTAGATCGGATAGCTTTGATGAGCTGTTGAGAATCGGAGTTGATAATTACTCTGTTGAACAACAAAGATTTGGCTTGGAACAGTGCAGACCTGATTGCAAGAGCTTCCGCCATGAGAGGAGAAGCTACATTCAGGAGTGATGCAGAGTGTTCCGATTGAGGATGCTGGCTTCTGGAGAAATCCAGCCTAATCCTGCTACTTCTGATTGGGGAGTCCAGGTGGCGTCTGTGCAGCAGGTGATGAAACCCTCGGGTACAAGTTGGATTTGAGGTGGGGTTTCCGGATCTGTGATCAGCTTTGCAGGTTGGGTGATTGATTGGGCATCAAGCCACTCTCGGGCATCCAAAACTGCTTTGAGGACCACCTCTGCTTCCGAGAAAGACTGATAGTTGAAGATTTTTTGGTTTCCGGAGATCCATAATGTCCAGCAGATCCACAGGAACAACAAACCCTTGTCTAACCCTATCGGCGAGAGAGTATAACTTTCTCGGGCAAGATTCAATCCTTCCGCAACATCTTGGATTAAGCCCTCATCAAACTCATATGCAAAAGGACTCGTCTTCCATACCTCACTGGCGAAAGGACAATGGAAGAGGAGATGGAGAGTCATTTCGGGTTCATTGCATCTTCTACAGAGGTGATTTTCATGTATATTCCGGCGACTCAATTGAATTCCCACTGGTAGAGCTTCATGTATGGTTTTCCAGAGAAATTTTTTAAACTTTGGGGCTGTAGAGAGCCTCCAAACCTGTTTATTCCAATCAAGTAGAAGTTCAGGTACTAAAAGGTTTTCCTTATCTCTTCGTTTCAGGGCTGATCTGTATCCCGATCTCACTGACTAGATGCCTGAGGGATGTTTAAGCCAAGTGAGTTTGTCCTCAGTCCGGAGAAGACTTGGTTTGATACTGAGTATCTTATCCCGGTAAGCAGGTAGGATTTTCTCTATTAGAGCTTCATTCCATACCATAGATTGGCCATTTAGAAGGTCACTAACTCTGAGTTGCCTTGCATGATAGGGAGGAGGGCCAAAGGGAGAACACTTGTCCTCTGAGGACACCAAGCATCCTTCCAGACATTAATCTTTTCGCCAATGCCGACAACCCATCCAAGCTGCTCACTTAGTAAGTCTCTCCCTATGCAAATACTTTTTCATCCATGCGAAGATGATCCACTAGTAGTGCTTTCTATATCGAAGTTTCTGCATGGTATCTGCCTTTTAGGATTCAGGCTAATAGATTGTCTGGACTCTGTAACAGTCTCCATGCTAGTTTAGCTAACAATGCATCATCGAAACAGCTGATATCCTTGAAACATAATCCTCCTTCTGCCTTAGGTTTGGCCATCTTCTTCCTGGCTATCCAGCTGGTTTTTTGGATGTCTGGAGAAGAGTCCCACCAAAACCTTGTCAACGCTGACTAAATCCTTTTACAGAGGGATTCTGGAATCTTGGAACATGTCATCGTGTAGGTAGGCATAGCTGAAAGAACACTTTTTAGCATCACCAACTTTCTTGCATTTGATAACAGTTTTGATGACCAGCTCTTTGCTTTCTGCTTGATACGGTCCACAATAGATGTGAATATGTCTTTCTTTGATCTGCCAGAGTGTTCTGGTAAACCCAGATATTTTTCCCATACCACCCTCAGCTTCTATATTGATACACTGTAAGATTGAGCTTTTCTTTGTGTGTGGAGTTTTCTTGGAGAAGGTGATAAAAATTTGATCAGTTTTCCCGAGCATGCTTCATATTTTGATAGTACCTCTTTAAGTGCTTTACAACTTTTGATGTTTGCCTTGCAGAAAAACATAGTGTCGTCGGTAAATAAGAGGTGGTTTACCCGAGGACATCCTCTAGCCACTTTAATGCCCTGAAGCTTCTTCCTTTCCTGAGCTCGGTGGCACAACCCTGACAAAACCTCACTGCAGATTATAAATAGGTAAGGTGACAATGGATCCCCCTGTCTTACCCCTCTTTGTGGCTTGATGCATCATCTAGGGCTTCCATTGATAAGAATAGAATAGGTAACTGTAGATATGGATTGCACGATCCATTTGACGAAGGTGTCATGAAACCCCAATATGATCATTGCTTTTTCAATAAAAGACCACTCTAATCTATCATATGCTTTGCTCATATCGGTTTTAGCCGCCATAGAGCATCTTTCAGTAGCTTTTGAAGTCTTTAGGAAATGAAGAACCTCATGTGTAATTAACACATTGTCTGATATAGCTCGTTTAGGCACAAAAGCTGACTGGTTTTCAGAAATAACTACCTCAAAAATTGGTTGCATACGTCGAGATAAGAATTTTGAATTGACTTTGTAATAGACATTACAAAGTGCTATAGGCCTGTATTCAGCAACTCTTTTGGCTCCCACCAGCTTTGGAATCAATCTAATATGGGTGTCATTGATCGTTTTAGGCATAACTCCAGATGCAAAGAAACCTTGGATCTCTCTGATGATCTCCTTGCTTACCACCAGCCAATTTGATCTGAAGAAGCAGGCCGACAAACCATCCGGACTAGGAGCTTTGTCCGGATGTATTGAGAAGAGTGCCTCTTTGATCTCTTCAGCCGAATGTTCTCTTATTAAAGACTGATTCATTTCAGAGGATATCCAGGGAGACAGTGCATCATTGATGATGCTCTCATGTGATTCTAGGTTAGTGGCGTTAGAGGTGAATATGTCTTTGAAATACTCAGAAATTAATTTAACTATCTTGTCTTCCTCGTAATGAGCCTTTCCTTCGTTATCTTCCAGAACTGAGAATTTATTAATGGCAAACATTTGACGAGAAGAGGCATGGAAATATTTGGTGTTTAGGTCTCCAGGAAACAGCCACAGCTATCTGCTCCTCTTTTTCCAATATGCCTCTTCCTTTTTGTGAGCTGCCTGAAGATTGTCTTTGATTGATTTTATGAGAGCTTTGTTTGGCGTAAGATCAGTTAGTGCTTTTTCCAACTTTTGTTTTAACTCTTCAATGTGAGATTGACTGTCTTTGTAGTGCTGTTTGTTCCAGAAAATGATGGCAAATGTGCACTGGTCAATTCGCTGTTTTACGTTTGCGCTCTTACTCTCCGACCACACTTTTGAGATAAGTTTCTTAACCTCCTCGTTATCCTTCAATCTTTTGTCATATCTAAAAGTTTTTTTTCCTCTTCTTTCTCTTTGGGTTAAAAACTGAGATGACAGGTCTGTGATCTGAAGAGTCAAAGTGCAAATATTCACATCTGCCATTTGGGAAGAGCTCAGCCCATTCACTGTTGGATACAGCTCTATCCAGCCTGCTTTGAATACTGTAAGTGCTTCTTACTCCTCTCCAGGATAAAGCATTTCCAGAGTGGCTTAAATCATACAGATCCCCTTCTGAAAAGAAAGTACGGAAATCCTCAAAAGAGCTCTCTTTTCTAGCAGGACCTCCCACTTTTTCATCATTGCTAAGAATGTCGTTAAAATCCCATGTCAAGAACCACGGTGCATCTCTGATTTGGGCTAGATCGATGAGGTAATCCCAATCTTGCTTTCTCAGTTTCCTGTCTGGATTTCCATATATGAAAGTTGAGTAGAAAGATTTGTCTTCATAGACAATGTGTGTAATGTGTATCAATGGAACTTTGGCAAGAAGATATAACATGCAGATTTATATCCTGATTCTATAATGATAGTAATCCTCCACCTTCAATGCCGTGTGGAGGGACAATACAATGGTTGGCAAAATTTAGATCTTCTACTTTTTTGAGAACAAAGTCATTGGGGTTTTTTGTCTCCAAAAGAAATATAATATCTGGATCAGTTTTTTTCTTTATTTCCCGGAGCCGTCGAACTGTCTCGGGGTTCCCCAACCCTTGACAATTCCAGTTAATAATTTTTAAGAAAGAGGAGGAGGCAGATTCCAAAAATCTGCCTGAGTCCTCTGCACGCTGGATCCAATTCTCTTTCCACGAGACGGTCCTGCCTTATCATTGCCCAGGTCCTTGGTTTGTATCTTACTTGAGTTGATCTTAGAAGCTGCGTATGTGATTCTAGATAATTTGTCAAACCGTGGAATCGCACTTGTTAACCGCTTTCTAGGTGAGGGCTTTACTTTCGTCACTTTCCTTTTCTTTTGTGGAGAGTCGGATACCAGGATCAGGTCGCTATGATTCTTTTTTCCAAGTGGTCTGCCTGGTTTTCTCTTGGCCGCAGGTACCTCCCTGGCTCTTCTTGCAGAAGAAGGTGCCTTGTCCTCAATTGGTTCATGTGATATTCTCAGAAGAGCAGGGATTCTGTCATGAGAGCCTTCCTGCCCTTCCATTCGGGTTGGTGGAGAAGGTCCCAACCTCAGTTTTGCTGGAGTTCTTTCTTGTGATCCTTGGACCGGTGAATCCTGTGAAGCTCTAGCCAGCGAGGCCCTCACCATCTGAGCCGCTGATTCTTCAAACTGACTATTTTGTTCTGCCACTCTTACTCATTCTCTACAGGCAGCGCTTTCAGATGGATCTACACAGCTAGAGTATTGTATCATTACTTCCCTTAGCTCTCCCAGTGCTTCTTCCATTGCTGCCTGGGGAAAATCTTTTTCTTTTCGAATAATCTGATTTTCTTCCCGGGAAGGGGCTCCCAACTCGATGTTAACTGATGAAGCTTTTGACTGTTGCGCAGGTTGGATCACTTTAGGGACCCATGTGGTCTGAATGTTTTTTTTTATGTCTTGTGGAGCCCTGAATATTTGCTGATCTCGACATTCCTGAGGAGTGTGACCGGAATCTTCCCTCCGCAGGGTACAACTTGTAGTAAGAATCTTTCCTTTCTATCCTTTCTTTATAAGAATGCTTAAGAGGCCTTGCATTGTGATTGTAGGAGGAGGAATGAGATTCATAATTTCCGTTGGAGCTCTCATAATGTGTTCCGGAGTGTGAGCTAAGGTGCCTCCCGCGATCATATTTTCTTTGGGATCCATATTTTGATATTGTAGTGTTTTTGCTCTGGATACTTTGTGAGGTGTTCTTTCCTTGGCTTGGCAGCTCGCCACCAGGAGGATTTGCAGTAGAACCTTTAGGACACTCGGTCTCATCATGAAGTAGAGAGAAGCATCTTTTGCAGTGTTTGGCTAACTGTTCGTAAACCAGGTCCGCTGTCACTCCGTCTCTGTTATCAAACTCGATGATGGAAGAAGTAATAAGAGGTTGAAGCCCATCTATTGTAACTTTCATTCGGGCTCTGGTGGTCGATATTTACATCTCTTCATATTGACCAATATTATTTGCTAGGCTTAAGAGAGTTGCTTCAGACCAGAGGTGGCTCGGTATGCCTTGAACTTGGATCCAGAAGGGGATTTGAGAAGGGAATGAGCTGGCCACCGTTGGTTCCCATCTCTGAAGGATAATCATCCAATGGGCGAAATGGTAAGGTCTGTTACTCAGACCCTTTTGCATATCTTCTTCAGAAAAGAATTTGAACTGAAATCGTCCTTGGCCTAAATCAGTTCCTATAGGGCGGGTCTGAACTCTCCAGTGATCCGCTAGGAAAGGGAGAAAAACCCACATCTTCTGGATTTTGGGGTTGGTGATTCTTCCCACCAAAGTAAGAGAATGGCTACGGATAAGTTCGGAGTTGTCAAAAGGAAACACTTTGACTCTTCCAGCTCTTGGTGGTTCAGGTTTTTCAGCGTGACCCTTTCCTTTTTCGTCATATGAAAGACATCGAATCATGGTGTAAATCCGTAGAGTGGATTATTCTATGTTGAACGCTTCTTTTAGGAAAAGCGGGAGTAGAAAAGCTTGATATTCCTTGAGGGAATAAATCTAGGCACTTTCCTGGCTTTGCGTTTAGATTTCTGTAGATATTCTTTGAGGAAATAACTCTAAGTTTATATGTTCTTGGGAGTAGCCGGACTAGCTTAATCTCTACTGGTATTCCTTGAGGGAATAACTCTAATCTTGTAGGGTAAGAAGGTTCGAAGGAGGAAAAGGAACTGGCCTTCTTTTAATTGCGAGGTATCCCCAACAAACTTTGGAGTTCATGGCTTAAACACAGCGAATTACTCTGCACCAATATCATCTTGTAGTGGAGAGAGCACTAGATCTGACTTTCTTAGAAGAGCCGGTGTCTAACAAAAACGAGGAAGAGGCCAAGACAAGTATCCAGAGGGAGAAGACGACTGCTTACCGTTGGAAATGGACCCTCCGACTGGTACGCCGGGGGCTGAACCCGGTGAGAACCGGCCAAGCACGGCAAGAGATTAAAAAAAACTTACTATAAGTGGTAAAAAAACGTAGCTGAGATTAAAAGTAGATCTCAAACTTTTAAGATAAACTTTGGGATAAGTGTCTGAGAGAAAACTTTCACAACCTCAACCTTTTTATTAAAAGGAATTTTCCCCTGGGTTATTCAATGTCTGTTTTTTTCCATTCATAATAATGTTAATTGTTATTGTTGGCTGAGCCGGTAAGGGTAGAAGCAGAAAAAAAAAATCGGCCCCTTAATCCAATTTGTTTTCACATTATCCACTTTGAAGTTAAGATCTTGAGGAAATTCTACACATCTTAAACCACCTGCTCTAATTCATTTTAACAAAAATTGGCCCTTAAAATATTTTTAAACTTACCAGTCCTGAATCACATATTTTATAGGTTTCTACTCAGGCCCGCTCTAATTGTTGGTTCGTACTATTGTTTCGGTTAGATGAAATTTTTGTTGTAAAATTCATTTGTTACTGAATTCAAGTCTATTGTAGAAATCAAATGATATCATGATTTTTAAAAAAAAAATACAGTGCCATATATTTTTTAAAAGTTTCCTTTACTTAGATACCATAGATTGTAGGCCTGGGCATATTAACCGGATCCGTAAACCCGCCCTGAAACCGACCCAATAGACATGGATGGATTGGCGGAAGAAGATAATAGCATTGTTGCTATTAGGAATGCAATTCACTATGTCAGGTCTTCTACAAACAGAGTTAAGTTTTTTGAGTTTAGAGTAGAGACAGGAAAGATGACTAGAGGAAGCTTACTTCTAGACGTGAAGACCAGATGGAATTCTACTTGTCTCATGCTGGAACAGGCTTTAAAGTTCAGGTTGGCTTTTGAGAGGATGCAGGCTGAAGACAAACCTTATGGTGACCATTTTCTAGACCACGTTGAAGGGAACAAGAGGATTGGACCACCAAGTTCAAGCGATTGGGATGCAGTTGACAGGTTGGTTCAATTTCTTGTCATTTTCTACAAATCTACATTGATGCTCTCTGCTTCTACATCTGTGGCGGCACACAAGGTGTATAACGAGATTGTCACTATTACTTCAAACATTAAGGAGATTAGTACTTCTCAAGTAGCTGATCAAACTTTGAGGGATAGAGCCTTAGCGATGATTAGTAAGTTAGAGAAATATTGGGATCCATTTAGGGAGAAGACTGAAATGAATAGGCTTGTGATAGTGGCTAGTGTTTTTGATCCACAGAAGAAGATAAAGTTTGCTCAGCTGTGTTTTGATTCTCTATATGGGAAGAATAGTGTTGCGGGGAAACTCTTATATGATTCCATAGAGGCAATTCTGAAGGATTTATTTGCTGAGTATAATAGCTTAGTGGACAGAAGCAGTTCTAGTGGGTCACATGGACCATCATCTTCTCAGTCCCAAGGAACATTTTCTATGTCGCAAGAACAAATCGGAACTGACGTATTCGAAATAAGTGTTCTCAGTCATGGAGTTGGGTATAAACGAATGGACAGCATTTATGATGAACTTGTCGAAGAAGCAGGAGTTGGTGATTCAGCAAATGAGTTAGAGATATATTTGAAAGAGGCTGTTGATAAACCAAAGCTGATGAAGGGTACAGAGTATGATATCTTGGGTTGGTGGATGAGAAATAGTGGCAAGTTCCCGGTTCTTTCAATGATTGCGAAAGATATACTTGCAATGCAAGTGTCATCTGTTGCTTCTGAATCTGCATTTAGCACAAGTGGAAGAGTGTTAAGCCCCTACAGAAGCTGTTTAACACACTACATGGTGGAGGTGTTGATGTGTACTGAACAGTGGTTAAAAAGTGAAATTCATATCAATGAAAGAGGAGTGTCAACTTGTGAACAAATGCTTGCTGATGTGGAGCTTGAAGATGAACTCATGAGAAGTAAGTTAATTCCTTTTTAACATCTCTTTGATTAGTTATTTTTTTCTAACCTTTAGTTCTTCTTTTTTTGATTAGAAAATGACCCTGAATTCAATATGCAAAGAAGCTGAGCTGTTGAGACTTGAGACTTGAGATTGTGAACGTGGAACTGATGAGTACAAGGTAATGTTTGTGAACTAATGTTTGTGACTTTGTGAACTAATGTTTATGACTTTGTGAACTAATGTTTGTGACTTTGTGAGTTGGTGTGTTCGTGTTTTAAGGACAATTTTTAACTGATTTGCATCTCTGTATTTTGTTCATGTATTAGGTATGAAAGCTTCAAGGTTCTAGTTCAAGCTCAGGTCTTCAAGTTGGCGTCTTCGTGTCTTCAGTTTTCATTGTTTTATCTTTTATGTTATTCTTCATGCAACTTGTGTTTTAGGAATTCTGATGTTTCAGTTCAGATTTTCGTTTTTCAAGTTTAGACTATTGTCATTTGTCATTTCAGTTTTTTTAACAATGTTTAAAACTTCAGCACGTTATGGTGGTTTGCACTTTGCAGTTTTGGTTTTTTTTAAGACATTTCGGGTTTTTTTGTTGCTGATTTTGGTTTCTTTTGGTTTCGGTTCTAAAAAAGAACCGAACCGAACCGTAATCCAAGTGTATTAAACACATTTCGGTTTTAAATTTAAGCACTCAAACCGACCCGTAAAATCCCTGAACCGATCCGAAACCGGACCAAAAGTATTCGGTTCTCAATTGGGTCCAACTTACGAAAACCGAAAGAACCGAACCCGATCGGTTCTAACCCGGAACCGACCCGCCAAACCGAATGCCCAGGCCTAATAGATTGTAAAAAGAATAATGAATCATTCCAAATAACAAATTTTTAAATTCTGAACAACTTTAAATCTAATAGAATTGATTTCAACTTATACAACTAATACCACCTTCTATATTATTCGCAAAAATGGAAAAAGATAAATTAGTTAAGTAATTAGTTATGCATGGGTAAAAGTCAGAGGTAAAAGTTAGTTCGGTGGATGCATATAGGCATAGTGTAGCACTTTGACTCGGATTTTCGTTTTTAACTAACATTTAATCAAATTTTCATCCGAGTTTTTACTTAGCATTTTTCGCATTAGGTTCATTTAGACAATTTTAGCCGTGCATAAGTAAATTAAAAACAGAATAATTGAATTAAATCGAGGTTCTCAAAACAATGATTGTTCGTATATAAACTATTACATCGACTAAAACCTTAACTACCCGATCCTACCATCCATTCCGTTCCAGCCATATTCTCCGCGCTGATCAGACCTCTTTACCTGCATCCACAAAGGAGGCAAAAGCAAACAGAACTGCTTAGTAAGAGCGGTCATCCCGTCTCACCGAGCCAAAGTATAATCATATCAAACAAAGATCGAGCCCAATTCTCATCAGAACAGAAAACTACCCGCGATAACCATACACGCTTACCCGGCCGATCATCCCAGCAACCAGACAAGCCTCGGCGGGCATCACAGCCGTGAGCGCTTTGCCTGATCTAGATCGCCGGTAAGGTGGATCGATCACCACGGCATAGCCAGCAGAAATGCCATGACAAGCACAGAATAACACGCAACCGACTAGAGTCTAGGAAAGAATACGACCAAACAAGGCCACGGTCACGCACTCACCTTAGCTTTTATCGGACAGATTTGGTAAAGACAGAACTCGCGATCGATCAGACTCGTTCCCACGATCGTTCGGCAGAATCCGGTTCACGCTCGGCAGGACCGCACTCGCTCTCAGCCAGAATCTGATCGCTCTCGGCTAAACAGACTTTCTCTCGACTAACTTCTCTTAAAAATGTTTCTCTCAATCTTTCTGTGTTCTTTTGGGTCGCGCGAAGAAAAGAAATGATTCGGAAGCCTTTATTATATAGGCGCTCACACGATTTCTCGCATCAAACCGCCCAGAAACCGTTCCTGCGACAATCCGCACTTTCCCACGATCCACTGAGATTTCGCGTGTTTCGCACGACTGATAACATTTCCCGCGCTACGTTTTCTTGGCTAAAATCCATAACCGTTCCCGCACTTTTGCCTTAGCGCGTTTTACCCGATAACCGCTCCCGCGCGCATCTGTTCCCGACAAGACTGTCTGTTCCGGATCAACCTTGTCTGAATTCCGACTAAGTCCCGAAAAACTCGGCTTGTCGGAATTTTCCAGCTAAATTTCCCGAAAATCGCGGCCAGCTGATTTTAGCTCGGCAAACCTTGATTTAGCTCGACAAAAGCTAGACTTAGCTCGGGATCACCTGACTGAACCCAGTTTTACCCGGCTAAACCCATTTCCCGACTTTCCTCAGTTAACCCCCTGGTTTTTCCCCATTTCTGTCTTACATTTTCCATACTTCCCTTAACCAAATTTTCCAACTTGGTAAGGTTTTCACGAACACGGGTGTTACAAGTCTCCCCCATTTATGGTGAGATTCGTTCTCGAATCTCTACTCTTCCTTGGCTTTTCCTTTTTCTGTTTCGGTTGCTTCTCAAACAACTTAGGAAATTTTTCCTTCAAACTTGATTCCGGCTCCCAAGTAGTTTCTTCTTCTCCATCGCAATCCCAAACAACCTGAACCGTCTTGACCTGCTTTCGGCCCACAACTTTTACTCGTTGGCCTATAATCCGAACCGCCCTTCCCTCTATGGACAAGTTTTCCTGCAAGTCCGGTAGAGGTTTGGATGTAACTGAATCCTCATTTCGAACGCACTTCCTTAACTGAGATACATGGAACACATGGTGAAATGCGACCAAGGCTGGTGGCAATTACAGCTTGTAAGCAACCAGCCCAATCTTTTCCAGGATCCTGTACGGTCCCATGTACCTCGGCTGAAGCTTACCCGTCGCAGCAGCCCGGTCCTTACCCTTGTAAGTGATCAGTTTGACAAAAACTTGATCGCCGACCTGAAATTCCAATTCTTTTCTCCGCTTATCCGCATAACTTTTCAGTCTGTTCTGAGCCTCTTTCATCTTGAGTTTCAAAACTTTGATCCGTTCGGTCGTCTCTTCCACAAAGTCTAGACCAAAAATGCTGCGCTCCCCCACTTGGGTCCAACATAGCAGTGTACGGCAAGACCGACCATACAACGCTTCATAAGGCGACATCCTAATACTCGCCTGGTAACTATTGCTGTAGGAAAACTCTGCCAAAGGCAGATAATCCTTCCACTTACCACTCCAATCCAACACACAAGCCCGCAACAAATCCTCCAACTT